CGAAAAGCTTTCAAACTTCTAGAATGAAAATCTCAAATGTATCTCATAACCATGAGAAGATTGGTACTATGACCAGTTGGAGTCTCAGCTAGCTTAAGCAATTAGCATATTTATTCACTTATTTATTATAGACATAGACATAAACAACTTTACTGTCATTTTGTGTGTACGGAGTGCACACAAAACTACATTTCATTGCATACAGCTTCAGACAAGAACAGGATTCAATAATTTAGCAATCTAATGGCAACAGGGAAAAAGCTGTTGTATAGCCTGGTGGACCTTTATTATGGTGTCTTACTTTCTCTGTTTATGATTTAAAAAATGTTTTTTCAGCATTAGTTATCAGTGGATGTTTAGTTTGTGTTTTGCACTGTGGTGGTCGATCACTATCATCGTCATTGAACTACAAGCCAGTTTATGAAGCAGTGGAATTCTCTTTTGATGTGAGATTAAAGGACAAAGTATATATACCGCATGAAATTTCCATGAGATGGCTGATTAAGTTTTGATCAGTTGTTGGAAAGACATAAGGCTCATTTCATTTCAGTGGAGAACTTGATTTGTTGCCAACGTCTGTAGCCATCCTTTTTCTGATCGACACCCGGGTCTCATTTCACTCTGATTGTTCAAAGACACTGATGTGCATTCATAAACTCAACTGATGAAGAATGAAAGGGAAACAATGCTGCTACATTTAAATGGTGAAACTGAAAATTTTAAGTTGTGTCACTTTAAATTCATGGCTCAGATGGTGAAGTTATTTGCAGAGAAATGATGCATTCACAAGGTTTCTATAACTAAAATGTGCTGAGACTGACTTGAACTAAAGTGTATTGTTTTATGTTCAGAAAACCTTTCCTCAAAGTTCACCAATGGAAATGCCTCTAACATTATTCATGTCATGTTACATATGTGTTTATATATTTATGTACACATCTGATTGATCTGCAGATATATATTATTAATCATAATATCTTCAAAGTGTTTATACAGACTGCAGAATCTCCTTCCTGTGCTGTTAAAAAAATCAAACTAAGCCCTAACTCTGTGGTTAAAAACAATCCAGCTGAATTCTTTGATGAATGCATTGTTAGTTTTTTAATTGCAGAATAGTTTACATGTTGCAAAGTGTGGTTTGGGTTGTAATTGCTGATTGTGAAGACAGAGATCTCAAGGAAATCACCTCAAAGACCCCGGTGGTCACTTCTCCAATTACTTAAATAGTGACTCAAAGAAAAACATGAAAATGATCATTTATTGTTTTTATGTTTCCACATGACCAGACAGGGAATTTCACATCTACAGGACTTCACTCCCACATCAGCAATCATTCTGTCATCACTTCTTACGTTTGGGACTACCACTGTAGAAATTATTTGAAAAACTTTGTTGAGCTTAATAAGATCATGCTTTGGTTGTGTATTTACATGACTCAGATCAGCATTTTTTTAAATACACAACCACGCACAAAAGAAAATCCCACAGATCTTATTGTCTGTTTTTCTGAAACAGACAACATTGGGTTATCTGAAGTCTCCATCAATAAAACATTGCGGACAATTGCGAAAAAATATACCGTCAACAAGTAGATATCATATAAAGAGAACTTGGACATAAAATACAAGCACGTTTATATACATTTTCCTTTAATTATGCTTTTAAAAATGCACCTGAAAAGCTGATAAATGAAAGCAATTATATGCTCTTTTTAGGAACTTTTCTAATATATAACCATAGATTTACCCTTTACAACTGAAAATATGAAGATTGACAAGTTAAGTAAGAATGAATGCAGCATCCACATTCAGTGTGGGTGGAGTAGGAGACTCCAAAGATTACCATGTGTAATAAAAAATAAGGAACATGACATCAACTCGGTTTGTTTTTTCAAAAAACCTTTTAAAAATGCTTTGTTTGTCGGTTGGTTTTGTTTACATGTGGAGAATATGTTGTTTTTAGAAAAGCCCTGAAGCTCTTTTCGTTAATTTATGCAAATCTTCTTTTCATGTCCTATGAGGATTTTGTTTCTGATGTTCTTTACTATATTCTATGAACATTAAACCGACCCGTTTTGACCCTATGAAGATTTGAGAAGATTTGTGCTGGCTTGCACAGACTATTTGGCTCTTAATTGATTCTTTTGTTCACTTCAATCCCCATCAGCATGAGGATGAGGCTCCATTATTGTCTAAGAAAAGCAGGGATGGAGAAACGGCCAGATAGAGCATGAAGACAGATAGTTTGGGGATGAGGAAAGATAACGAGGAGGACAAAGTACCCTGCAGGATTAGCAAAGAGGGTGGATAATAGGCACCCAGTTTGACCACAGATACAGTAGCCTATCAAGTGGCAGTGGAAATGGGGAAAGGAGTGGAAATGAGCGAATCATATGCTGTGACTTATCCTCCCAGTCCACCAGAGACCAAAGGCGTCTCGGTTTGAGGTGCAGGGGGATCAAACTCCAGGTAGCCGCAGGGAGATGGGGGGGTATTTTTTCACACTCGAAAGAGTCTTGGCTGTACCTAACTGGCCACACTGGCCACCGGTATTGTGCACCGGTCCCAGCATGGCGCTCGGTCAATGTGCTGTGACTAATCCGGGTGGGGTCCCACGTTTTCTTTCTCCCTAATTAAAAGAGGATTAAATGGTATGTAGCTCTAGACCACTACGCTGAGAGACTGTCTTCTAGGACAACCATATGTACTGGATTTTCTATTCATAAATACACCTTGAGTTGTTAGTGACACTCAAACAAGGACTGAAACAGAAAGGTGTGTATATGTGTACACCTAAGCATACCTTTATTTAACTGATTTTCACTTTGGTTTTGTTCTCCAGCTAAATTACAGCAAAGGTCCCCACTTTAATGCTTACTGGCTCTCACAGGAAAATTATGATGATTAAACAAAATATGTTTGAGTTAATATTTAGATTTTCAATGTTTTTTTTATACTTTGATGCCATGAAATTCCATTAATGCCCAATTAAAGCAATCCAATCCACACATACAATATTTGTCATATTTTAGGAGCTCAATGGAAGCTTTTTTTTCAGCTGTTGACTAACTCTGAATTGTTTGCTTTAAATAACCAGCTAAGTTAAGTATGTTTAAAGTGCTGATTGATTTAGAAGCCAGCTGCCACACTGTGGACTTCTTTTTCTCGTGCTACAGCACTGGTATGTGGAGGGGCCATAAAAGAGGGCAAGAGGGCCTGGTCTCAAGCTGTACCATGATGGAAGACGGTGAAGAACAGTTTTAAAGATGATTTACAACTTAAAATAGTTTCAATGATTTTGAAAAAATCGTTGAGATGGCAACACAAGCCCAGAATTTGGCAAAAATCTTTAGGTTTTTATTTATTCAGAATTTAAGCACAATAATTATATCTTAAAAAAACTTTCCACAATTTTGTGAAAAATCAACCGGTGACAGCTAACAAGTACTTAGAAAAACGCATCAGTTATAGATAGTACATCTTGTAATATAGTAAATGCTACCTCACAAGAGCATCAAAAACTGGTATATTACAGTATAACATTATTTATGAAACAAACACACAGAAAGTGAGTGACAGAAAGTACATCTTCACTGCTGTCACTTGTAAAAAAAAAAAATTGGAGAGTTCTTCTCAAAAGCTCAAGAGGTCATGTTAAAGTGGGTACACTGTTTGCTGGTTTTGAGCTCTCAGGTGTTTGTGCTCACACAATGCCCGAGAGGAAAGACATCAACAATAATCTTAACACAGCAAATGTTACAGATCAGTCTGGCAAGGGTTATAAACCATTATTCATCATTCATACAGTGAATTAAATGTGTTCACAAGTAGAACATTTTCAGGACAATTTTAATTTTCCACAGAAGTGGAAATCTCAGAATGATCATGAAATGCTAAAATAATCTTTGTACTTTATTGATTCCAGAGTTGGGAAACTAATGTCTGGTGTAATGTGTGGTTATTAATGCACAGCAACCACATCTGACAAATAATACGCCTGTTCAGCAGCCTTCAGACTTGGGCCTGCAGTTTTTGAATTCAACATGAACTACTCTTTAGACTAAAGTGTTCTACACTCAAATGTGTTTGTCACATTGGCATTGGCTGAAACTAGGTCATGCTCAGGACTCTGTTGAAATGACTCTGCCTTAACCTAAGCCTAACTCAGCTTAGTTAGTGAAACCTGAGTACAATGTGCATAAACAAATTACCACAAAACACCACTAACCAAAGCAGCTTTCACAACCAAAGTATGCCCTTAACAACCACCTGCAAGACATACAAAAACAAAAATCCCTCCAGCTGCTGCTAAAGTTGGTTTCGATTGATGCAGAATAAAATTGAAGTTCTCACACAGATGTTAGAATTTGGCTAGAATTACTCACTTTAGCATTGTATGCTATCACATGATCTATGTAAATTACTGATTGTTTTATTTTCTTTTATAACTATATTTTGTGTTGAAGTCTCTGGCTTTGGCCACAGACTCTCTCCTCTCTCTTTTCCTTTCCTCTCCTTTTCTTTTGGACCTAGCCAAGGAGATAATGCCCATCACGCCTAGATTTCGGGGGTCTTTGCCGACCGAGACCCTGAGAAAGGTTTTTGTCTGTGAAGACCCCAGCACTGTTATACTTTGCCTGTGACCTAATAAATGTCAACTTTTTACTTTTGATCTACTCTGGTTTATTCTCATTTTTCCAACTAAAGAATCGGGTCTCACAGAGACAGAATTTTTTGTCGCATACTTTATTACTTTGTATAAAATGCCATGTGTTGTTGCTCATAAAGTGTTGGATTTGCCACTTTTAAGACCTAATATTTTGTCATTATACATTAGACATAAGAAACAGGGTACATAATAGTATATAAATCTCAACTCCGAGTTAGCAAAACTCCAAAGTTTTAGATGCTCCCATTTTTAAAGTAATAACATGATTTTTTTGAGACCGCTATGACACATGCTGAAAAAATCTATTACTGTTTACCTTAAATTTATGTTGATTTACTTTGTATAGATGTGTGTTTCCTTAGAACACCTCTTTGGACATCTACATCCGCCTGGTCGCACTGTGCCCTGGTCGCAGTCATGTGCTCCTCCGCCACCGCGCCCACTTTTTGCTAAGAAAAACAGCGTGATGCGCCGCAGCGCCTATAGTGCTGGTTCAAAGAACACATACCCCAACAATCCACAGGGATACTCCAGTTTCAGTACACATCGCGCATTCAGTTGTTCGGCTGTTATTTTGTAGTCTGCACTATGGACGACCAAGAAGAGGTTGCAATGAAGGGATCCAAAAGACAAGAGCGTCAACAAGGTAACGGCTGCTCACTTTCTAAAAACTACTAAATCTTTGGCGCATCTTTGTATGGCACAGACGATATAGCGGTAGCTGAACCGCTGCAAAATGATATTAAGTTCATGCAATTTTTCACATTACAAAGCTTTGAATTGTATATCTTCCTGGGTTAAAAGTCCCAGTCGAATATCGAATTCGATTGGGTTTTAAACGTTACAGTTCCAAGCTAGCAAACGTTCACAATCAACGGGAAGCTAACGTTAGCAAATGGAAAATGTACATCTAACAGAACCGTGTTCATATTCGAAAGTAAGCCATAGCTAATAAAAAAAACAGCTTTGCAACTGTAGTGCAAGGTAATTCCATTGGTGCCATCTACACCCGTTGGGTTGTTTAGAATTAGATATTTGTATTGATAAAGGTTTCTTGTAAAAGGCTGGCCAATATAGCGTCATTTGCGCATGCGTGATTCATTTTACCTCGTGGTACGTTATGGCGAGATAATCAATAATAAGAATGGTTTTGTGGATAATTGTTTTACACAAAATCAATATATAATTAGAGATGAACTGTTTCTTGTTATTGCCTTGGGTGGGTTTGGCCTGTAACGCCCCGTTTGTCTTGGTTAGGATTTCGCAAATGACGTCATGACGTAAAACCGACGGGTTGTGGAGCCCTGTTCCAAAATTTAATGTATATGAATAAAGATTTAGACCATGCAAGTACCCATAATCGCCTTTTGGTTCAGCAACCGTATGTAACTTCCCTGTACGCAGCTCAACAGCTTTTTTTACTTCTAACTTTGTCTGTAGGTCCAGCCAGATACAGTTCTCATGACGTCGAAGGTATGAACCTCAGCCATTGATTAGTTGCATGTCAGTGTCAGTAGGTTTGACTTATAACAGCCTAACAGTGGAGCACTAAGTATGAATATGAGTTGGGATGGCATTAAACCAGACTAACCAAAGCTAAGTGTTCAGAGGTGGATGGGTCTCCTGGGTTTAACCAAAGCATCAGCAATGGAAGCTCTTCTTTTCACTGTCCGGCAGCGTTACATTATTCTGTTATTAGATTATTGGGAATTGATGTTACTGTATGTTTGCTTTATTGTCCCACAGCTCTGGAGAATCCAGACACTGATATTGGACTGTGCGGGTGGCTGCTGGTTGGACTCTCTCTGCTTCTCATGCTGGTTACTCTGCCCCTCTCCATATGGATGTGCATTAAGGTCTGCTGCCTGTCAAAACCTGTTTGAAATTACCCTGTCACAAGCAAAAACCTACTACTGTTGAACAATTTATTGTTTGAGGCAAATGCCCTCACTCATATTACCTGTTGGATTTCCCACATTCTGTTTATTTTAATTTTATTATTGGAATATTCTTATATTTCTTATTTAGCACCAGTGACATATTAGAAATGACAAAGAGAAGACATGTGACAGTGATGTGCTTGCTCTATGCAGATCGTGAAGGAGTATGAGCGCGCTATTATCTTCCGCCTCGGGCGTATTTTGCGAGGAGGAGCAAAAGGACCAGGTCAGGACCAAACCTTTTTGTTTTTTCCTTTTATCAGCAGTTGTTGGAGCACACATTAAATTAGGAAAATGGCTGAAAATACCACTACTATTGGACAGCTTTAAACTGATACACTGCTTTGTCAAAGGAGCCCAGAGGAGGCCAAGCATTGATTTAAAGGGAGTGGTGCCTCAGCTAAAAATAGAAGCACGGGTCACGTGACAATTGCTTCTGCTCGTTTTTCATCTGCGTCGCAGCCAGTCCATTTAGACTTGATGGATTTGTTTCCCAGTCTGCTTAATGACCCGGGTTACTAAGGCAACCCTGAGGCCAAAAACGCAGCGCCGATCTGTATTTTAGAAAGGGGTCTGTTTTTAGGCTCGTACTTAAATAGGTTCACACTTAATGTTTAAATCAAGTTGAGTTTTATTTGTATTGCACCAAATCACAACAAACGCTGTCTAATGGCACTTCAAGCCAATTAGAATCCCATTCAATTATATTCCAGTAAAAAAAATCCTAATCTTACCACACCCATAGTACATATGTGTTAAAAGGATACAAATAAATGTAACTTTTACTTACAGAAGCAAAATGTCGGACTAAAAATGGTCTTTTTTAAATTATTTGATTTTTTTTCTTCTTTTTTTTAATACTCTGACGGAGAAATAACTATTTTCCATCAAATAACCTTAACAGTCTAACAATTCCCAAAAATTAATTACTTTCTACTTCAGGTTATAACGTTGATTAGATTATCTATGAATCTTTAATTGATGAATCATTGCGTTTCATCAAAGTGCAGCACTTTTGGGGCACCATCAGGTGCTTCCTACACGCTAACATGCTGCTTGGCAGGTGCGAGCAAAATAAAAGCCTTTTTTCACTCACAATTGTAAACGCAAAAATCTGGAGTTTGCTCAGCAGTAATGGCACTGCGTGCTTTGGTCAAATGCAAACAAGATGGAGTATTTTGGCAGCAAACACGCTAGATGGCCCATGGCATAACACAGAGAAGAGCGTGCGGAAAGCACATGATGGGCACTGATGTTTTGAATTGAATTGAATATACTTTATTTGGGGAGGATCGGTTCCCTTTCCGAAGGCCCCAGGAACGTTGTCAGGGTGCATGACATCATGAACGTTTTCAAATACCGGGGCATTTTAAATCTAAATCCGGTGATCTCTGCCCAACAGCTGAAGATTGTCTGTCACTGGTTTCTTTAAGGGAGATAATGACCCCAAACACCTGGCCAAAGCTATCCAAAAATGATTCCTCAATGGTTCCTCAATCCAATTTAACATCCGTGTGGTGAGCTGAAGAGAGTGTGTAGGAGAGGACCCAGGACTTTGGAGCTGCTTTTATACGCATCAGTCATACTTCAGGGTTCCCAGCATGCCGTTCAGTGTTATGTGTTGAAGCAAATCACTCACAGTCAACCTTTGCTCACCGTAACTTTTATAAACCTAAAAGCCGCCTCCACAGTAAGACCTCAAAACAATTTGGAGGTTTGATCAGCTGCCGGTCATGGGATCATTATCACTGATACACACAGAAAAAAATCCTAAACCGTCAGCACAAAGTTCAAAAGTGAACCTCTGTGGTGGCTTATGAGTGCACTGGAGCACACAGAACAGGAAACTTTCACCTCCCCGAAGGCACCATTAGCGCGTAATGATGCAGGCTGGTTTTTGAGCGGCGTACACTGCAATCTGGGCAACGTCTTTCCCTCTCGCGTTCACCTGTTAGCAGACTGTGTAGCGGATTTGTTTTAAATTGGCTTGTCAGCAGTTCAGAACCCGCCATCTGAGACATTTAGGGCGTTACATGTAATACGGTCCCCAACTGTGTCCTGAAGATGTCATTGTTTTTTGTTTTTTTAAAAGAACGGAGACTAATTTAAAAAATGTCTTTTTGTTTATTTATTTTTTAACTGCTCGTGCAGCAGAACATTAAAAATCGCTTAGTTTTCATCTTGTGGGGGCTGTAAAGAGCTGTGTTGGTTCATGCCAGCCCATAGTCTTGGAAATATTCCGTTCAGTGCCAAAGCCATCAACAGATTGACTAGCAGGCCTGCGCTACTGTCCCCCAGAGCCATGCCACAAGCATAAAAGTGACTTATTGGGGGAGCCGGGATGGGAGGAAGCACAGGAGGCAGGGTGAAAGGATGTCCTGCCATGGTTTCCCACGAAACCACTTCCTGCAAGTGGTCGATTCCTTTAAGAAAAAAAAAAGAAAAGCTGTCGGCCACAACCGTCCAGCAAAGTTCACTTAGACGGATGGAAAGGCCTGATATCTGTGTTTGGTAATTTAGCTGTTTACTTGTCCTCTCCTCGCCATCTACAGTTGAAAACAAACACCTTCTGTTCATCCAGAAGTCTGTTGTCAGGGTGAATTTGCACATTTCTGACAAACCACCGTCTTGACGACTAAGTGTCTGCCTGATTTATTGTTTAGCTAGATCTAAAAATCTGACGCTGTCCCCCTCAAAAAATCCTGAAATGTGACTCCTCAAAGGGCGAGGGCAGCTCAGAGTTAATAATAGCTATCTGCCGTTCTACAAAGGCAGAGTTATCCTTCTGAAACCAGCCCTGAAGTTGGTTCTCGTTCTGGCATTAGAGGACCGTTTCCACGCAAACGCCGACCACTTCCTGCTGGAGCGCAGGTGTGGCCTCCCCTATTTGACTAACAGATAAGGAAAAGGAAAGAAACCGGTGTCCCATTTTTCCGAACAGATGGCCCGGGATCTCGCCATTTAAATTCACAACATCCTGACAAGAGAAGGCAGCCTGTGTTTGCTAAACGACCGCGCACCTGTGTGTTTGACTGAGGCTCGAGCGCCGCGCGTTGCCTGGCGCACGCCTGCTATCGGGCCAACGGAGGCGGCGGAGGGGCCCGCGGCTTTTTTACGACACAGCTGCCGCCTCGCGGATTGAGCCTGATCTGGACTCCTGCCAGGGCGGGGCCAACCCCCTCGCAGGGTTTCCGAACATTTGCCAAGAGGCTTCGCCGAGGCCTCGGTCTCCGTTCACCCCGTTTTTCTCATCTCTGTGCAGGTTTGTTTTTCATCTTGCCGTGCACCGACAGCTTCATCAACGTGGACATGCGCACCATCACCTTCGACATCCCTCCACAAGAGGTACGACACACACCCCCTCCAGTTCAGCTAAAGGGAATGCCGTGAATGTCATTAATCGGAGCCTAAATCTTCTGGGTTTTTCTACGACACACTTTCCTCTTCACGTCCTCCTGTTGACTTAACTCAACCATGCTTTCTTCCGCCCAGGTTCTGACCAAAGACTCTGTGACGGTGAGCGTGGACGGCGTGGTTTACTACCGGGTCCAGAATGCCACCCTGGCCGTGGCCAATATCACTAACGCGGACGCCGCCACCCGGCTGTTGGCTCAGACCACGCTGAGGAACGTGTTGGGCACCAAAAACCTGGCAGAGATCCTCTCCGACCGCGAGGAGATCGCCCACAGCATGCAGGTAGAGTGCACTCTTTTTTTCTGTTTTTGTCATTCAGAACACAGTGCCTATCAGAGCTTTTAACACCCCTCACAAAGTTATTTTGGATTGCAAAGATATCACAATTAGTGAGTTTTAGAAACCTGAAGATGCTCCATTGAATCTCCTTTGCTAAAACAAAGCATTGTTTTCTATGAAAGAGGTCCAGAGCTTTTTGGATTAAATTAAATGAGGATAGTTTTCAGGGCCTCTCACTGGTCATGTCAGTTGTTGAGAAATAAAACTGTAAGTAATCCCGTGTTCCTGTGCAGGGACGTGCTTTTCAGTGTGCTTTTTTTATTTCATTTTAATTATTTATTTATCCATTAAACTTTTACTCCCAGTTTATGCTGAGCCACTTGAAATGATTAAATATTTACTTGGTAGGAAGTTGGATGGTTTGCCAGTGATCAGTCGGTGGTTGGAGTCATGTGAATTTCCCAGATGATGGATTTACTGCCTTATTCTTTTCTCTCACTCTCTCTCTCTCTCTCTCTCTCTTTTTATTTTTTTTATTTTTCAGTTTGTTGGTTAAATTTCTTTTTGTCTGTTTATTCTATTCTTGGCCAGCTTCATCTGGACCCACTATCCTCATCCAGCTGTCACCACTGTAAAAGTGATGTCAGTTGTTGTTGTCAGTTGTTCGACTGAGCAAAAAAAGCCAATCTTTTTCTTTCTTTTTCTTTTTAAGCTTTAGTAACTCTCAGAAGCAATGACCTCAACATGTAAGAGAAAGTAATTGCACCCAATTGCACAAGCTGAAACTATTTAATAGTCTCCATAACTGGTGGAAATGGTTTTAGGAAGGAACAAATCAACGTTGCTGCCCTTTTCCATGATCTCTCTTAATATGGATCTGTGTTGGAGATGAGAAAGATGCATGTGACCATATTTATCCAGAGATGAATAGGGTCACATGGATGTCAGTAACTCATAAAGGAAGTTATCTTTAGTGGATTGTTGGAGCTAACGCAGCCCAAAGAGAAAGACCCAAAGTAGTCTATTTATAAAAGGTGGTCCCAAATGGGGCATTTTTAACCAAAGTTTGATCTTGAAACGGCTTTTAGATCCAACCAATATCCAGTCCAAAATTTCAAGACTGTTAGTTTGAAGTCTCATTTCCCAGCCTGCACATAAAACGTCAAACATGGCACCGCGAGAGCACCGTCTTCTCATTTCTTCTTAATAGTTCAGCAAGAGCAAAGGTTCTGAACTTCCCACTTAAAAAGTACAGTGAAGGCAGCATCATTTGAAGCTGAGGAGATGAGAGCGAGAAAGAGGGATCATTCTCCGCTGAGCCGGGAGCACAGTGGATGCTGAAGACATCCACTGTGCTTCTGAGCAGCTCACTGAATGAAACGTCTTCATGGAGGGTTTTTTATTTTTTTATTTTTTCAGATTTTGAGTCTGTCAGTCTCTGACAGCCAAATGTATGATGCAAAGTGCAGAAGCCCATTTTTCCCCCCTTAATATTTCCGCTGTATTTTCCGTTTTAGATTTATTTTAGGTTCACTCCTGACACCTGAATGCTGTCAGTCGTATTTGTACAAACCGCCTGTGTGGGCTCTGTCTTTTGTTCAGGTGTTTTTAAGCGGGGCGCACTTGATAACGCAAACTTTCTGGAGTTCCCCGCTCTGTTAAATCACGAAATGCCTCTGGTTGTTATTCAGTAGCCGAGCATTGTTTTTTCTTTCTCCCCAGTCGACTCTGGACGACGCCACTGACGACTGGGGGATCAAGGTGGAGCGGGTGGAGATCAAGGACGTGAAGCTGCCCCTTCAGCTCCAGAGGGCCATGGCGGCCGAAGCGGAGGCCAGCCGCGAGGCCAGAGCCAAGGTAAGCTGCATGCTCCCCTCCCTCGCTCAGTTCAGAGGCGAAAGTTGAAGAACAGTTCACACAAGGAGACTTGTTTCCTTTAACCTAAAACCAGCGTTGTAGGGGAGTCGACACAAACCTGACAGGAGCTAATTAACCTTCACTGTTGTCTGTTATTATGCGTTCATCACGGCTGCTTCATGCACCCCACCTCCCTTTGACACATCGGTTGTAAGCATCCTCAGAAATTGACGCTGCAAGCGGCAATAAAGTTTCAGCGTTTGTGTTGTCAACGTCAATTTTCGGTGCCGTGCTTATGTTTGGGGCCCGCCTTATATTTACCCTTTATCAGAACGCTTGTGCTTTGATCCTGAAAATTCGGTCTAATGCGCCCCCTTGTGGACTCCACTCACTAGCACAGAGGGCAGGCATCAGAGTGAACGTTGGGTTTGGGGAATTTTTTTAAAAAAAGTCCAGGAAGAAATCGCCCCGTGGTTTTTTAAAGGGAAAAAAAAAGTGATATCTGTTGGTGTGGAGGCGTACCCAAACTGGGATGTGACATCGGTCCTGTTTTCTTTTCTTCAGGTGATCGCAGCAGAGGGGGAGATGAACGCGTCCCGAGCCCTGAAAGAGGCCTCGCTGGTGATCGCCGAGTCCCCGTCGGCCCTGCAGCTGCGCTACCTCCAGACCCTCAACACCATCGCCGCCGAGAAGAACTCCACCATCATTTTCCCGCTGCCCCTGGAGATGATGCAGGGATTCATCAAACACTGAGGAGCCTGACAGAGACCACTGCAACCTCCGCGGAGACGTCTCGTTTCTTTTAACCCAGCGGTGCTCTGAAAATACCCCCTTTCTTTGTTTTTTTTTAGGTTTTTATTTGAGCTAATTCGGTGTGTTTTATAAGTCGAAAAAGCAAACATTTGCCGTGAGGCTGAACGGAGGGCGAGACCGTCGGTGTGTCCGCCAGACAAATTTTAGCGTCAGAAGAACAAACGCAGCCAAACCCGCCTTTGAGTCGCGCTTTCGATCTTTTCTTTACACGTACAGTAACCTCTAACATCCCCATCACCAGTTTTTGAAAGGAAAGTGCCTGCATCTAATCACACACACTTACACATCTCTTGATATCGTTGCACTGCTAAGACGACTGCCAGCATTATAGTGTCAAAAAAATCCCTTCATTTTATTTTTTTAACACATCAACACTGGCTGTAGCTTTAGTTTTAGCCCCTTCAATTTAACTGAAGGTTTTTTCAAGCTGCTTGAGCAGAAACGCACCGTGTAACGCCCCTCAATAATAACACTTGTCAGATTATACAGTATACTCAATACTGTATTGAGAAGGGATGTGCTGGTTGCAAAGAAGCTCAGTTTTGGTTTCGTACCAGCCTTTCAGGTGGTTAAAAACATTGTATTTTTCAGGTTGGTGGCGTCGAATGGCGTGTTGATGGAATCCCTTCAGAAAAAAGGATCAGGATGACACAAATGTTGCCAAAACGTCAGGTTATAAACTGAGCTTTTATTCTTTTTCTTACCTCTGTTGGTCGCAACTCAATGTATTTCATGCTAGTTCCAGTCTGCTTTCTGTTCATCTACAATTCATGAAATATTTCTGCGTGCAGTGTTGGTCTTAAACAATCAACTAGACTAGCATCTGACAGTCTAAATATAGACACTTATCAGCAGCTCCCAGCTGTCAGTTGTGCCTTCCTTTCTATTTTTTCCCCCCCTACCCACTATTTTTATTCTCTGCATTGGAAACACAGGGGCTCAAATCTCTCAGCCAGACGCCTTAACTCACTGCCATCCGTTCATTTTCACCCAACATTTAATGCATCCCCTGGGAAATTCTTTAACTGATCATACACTGTGGGAGTAACACAAGCCAAATACCTTTTAGATGTATATTCTGATATTTCAAATAGATGCACTGTACTCTATGGTTTTTAGTCTGTAGTTCTCCATGTTTATTATTAGTAGGAATAGTATAGCATTCCAAGTGTAATAAGCCAGTTGACAGACAGTGGATTGAGCTTTGTATCACACAGCAAACTCAATTTGCATGTTTATCTTTTTTGTCACTTCGTGGAAAGGCTGTTATTTTGTACTGTTATAAATAGTAATGCAATTGTGTGTTATTTTTTGCCATGGAAAGATTATTTGCTGTAGAGCTTATATGAAGTGTAAACTGAAGGTCTGCTCCAGGAGGGAGAGGAATGGAAAAAGACACAAAAACCTGGCCAGCTATGTCTGGTTCTTGCGTCTTTCCACTTTCTCCGGCAGCTTTGTTACGAGTTGTTGCACTCGCAGGTCAGTAATGTGATTTTTATTTTCATTTTTGCTAAAGCCTTATGCACATCAGTGTTCTTACCCTTTATTAGGAGGTGATTGCAAACCGTTTAGCGCAGTTGGAGTTTCATTGATTTTTAACTTGAATCCACATATATGCAACCTCCCAATAAAGATGCTATAAAAAAACGTATTCGTCCAAAGATTTCACTTACCTGAAGCCGGAGTGGGACTGACTGTTTGTGTAAGGAAGAGCAAGGAAACGCATCACTGGTTGAATTTGATTTATTGGACATAATAGTGCTTTTGAAAGTAGACACTGGAGCAGAGGATAAAACATGACAGGCTTGATTATGTCACATTTTAAAAAAATAAATACAAAAGTGACATGTAAAGGTGCAGGCAACAAATCTAAAGTGACCCTTCACCTGGAACAGTACCCTTTTTAAAAAAAATGAAAGCTTACTTTAAACTATATTAAGAGTAAAACGCTTTACCGTCAAATATAAAATCAGACTATTGCTCTTGTTAAAGTAATTGAATTTTACGTGCAAAACTTATCAGTCGAAGCCCTGTTTCTACTGGTTGGTTTTAGAATAAGAGTGAAGGCACTACAGTAGCATGTAACATAAAACCATTTTTTTAAAATCCTCCTTGGTTCTGGGTACATTGAAAGCTAAAAAAACTAATGTTTAAAAAAGTTGATTGACTCTTGGTGCTTGCAGTGCATCAGAGGGGTCCAAAGGTAAGGTTGGGGGTGGAGGGGGGGTTAAATAAGCATTCAAATGGCCAGTTCTGCCATGGCGCGTTCCAGGGGGTCGCTGGTCCAGTAGTCATGGTCCCAGCCCAGGAACCAGCCGGTGAACGTGGGCGGCTCGAAGCCCTGCTTGAGTTTGACGATGGGCGTCCTGGGGTCTCTGTTAGCCGGGTCTGTCTCGATGTAACGGACGGCTAGGGACAAACGACAAAAAGGCCTGAGTCAAAAAGCCGCTAAAGCACTGGCTGCGTGGGAGCAGTTCTGGAGAGGAACCGGCACAAAGTGTCTACTACAGATCCCAAAGTCAGAAGAGGAATTTATCAATAACAACATTGGCCAAGTTTTATACTTTCATATAAGATATTAAACAAAAAAAAAACAGTTTATCTGTTTTCTGCTTGGTAAGTCTTAATCATAAATACCTATAAGAATCTAAAAATAGGTCCAAAGTTGAAGCTTAAGTTTGAGATTTGTAACATTGATCCTCCCCCAATCCTGAAATTAGCCACATTTGATCTTTGCCAATATTTAATTTCAATGTTTTTTTATTGATAACATGGATTAAATGTCAACATCATCGTCCCTTTCTGTAAGATGCAGTTTTGCATTTGGAGAGATGGCATAGCTGTGAGTTCCTCCTTTATCACCATTAACTAAAACACGTGTTAAAAGACCGGTCTCTTTAAGTTTGCCTGTTGTTTTCTTACCAGATGCCATGGCTTCAGTCTTTTCTTCCTCCTGGGCCTCATTTCCGATCCAGACAAAGACCTGCCGAAGACAAAGGTTGTTTTGTTTACTTATTTCTTTGTTTATGTTTATGCATTTAGAAGATGCTTTTATCCAAAGCGACTTACAAAGTAGACACAATGTTACAGTTCTCATAAGTTCTCTAGAGGAATATCTCTAGTCAGAATCAGTGGTGGTATGGGTAAGAGTTAGGATATCTCATCTAATTTTGAGTTAATGAGATGAATCAGTCTTTTTTTCCCTTGTTTTTTTCTTTACCTGGTCCCAGGTGTCCAGGATCATGACATCATCTGTGGCCAAGTCTTCTTGGATGATCTCCCCAGGTACCTCCTCAATCTGACAGGAGGAAAAAAGATTGATTGGCGTGGTCTAAAATTAGACTTTCCTCAGGATTTTCCCGTACTGACACATTCACATCTACGCAACGATAAGCTTCCAAAAATGCTAGAAAAAATGACTGTAAAATGTCAGACCATGTGGTCACAAGTGGTAAGTTTGGAAAATGATGTAATATGCATGATGCTGCCATTTAAAACCACAGCAGCAGCAGAGGAAGAAAGATCCTAAGCCTTACAATAAAGTTCCCGGTCTTGTTAGAGCAGGCAAAGAGGCGAGGCGGGTGAGCGTCCATCTTGTCCTTCAGTCTGGTGGAGGTACGGTAATCTGTCTTCCCACCCAGGGCTTCCCAGAACTGGTCTGTAAAAATAATAGAAAGAACCTTATTATTGTTGATGATTACCAAAGAGAAAATTCTTCCTCACAAAAAACTCTTTGGGCAGTTTTAAAAAATCTTCCAGGGTAGGATGACACGAGTTTAAAACCACCACAGACAGTTTGTGTTGCTATTTTGCTACCTCTCATGGCCACAGTTTGTGCCACTATCGTTCGTCTATGGAATCAGACCATTCTGGCCTGATCTCCCTATAGCTAATGACCATGCTGGTCCCAGTTTAGGTGGAATGATACAGAATACAATGCACAAAAAGTGTTTTACTTTCTCACTTTTGTACACAATACTCTTTTAAAAGGTTTTTGTTCAGTTGGTTTTTTGTTGACAATTGACACTGGAATGACAAAATCATAGTTAGGATTGGTAGTTTGTATGTTAGCATACAGCCCGTGGCTAATTACCGCCCGGCCGGGTTTGTAAAAATAACTGGTTTTGAATTGGTTGAAGCGGTTATAACCAGTATGGGATTCTGGTTTAATGGGGGTCATATGTAGTCTTCTTCATGTCTTTGAAAAATGCCAGTAAAAAATATGGTAAAAATGGTTCTTTATTTACAACTAAATCCTCAATATAAGCTCACTTGCTAATTGCTAAGGGCAGTTTTGTGCTAATGGGGTGTTAGCACCCACACTGGTAACCACTTTTTGTTGAACTGCTCTTTGTGCAAAAAAAAAGCATTTTAGAATTTTACCTTTTGTAAATAAAACTGACACCAGCAATCGTTAATGAGGGTCAACATAGATATATAACGAAAAACAGCATTCTGAATTTAAACAAAGCCATCGCCTCCATTTAAAGTTAGTCGGCTGGACCTGTATTTTTTACACATCCAGATGAGATTCGAAGGAGAAACTTTTAAATTAACCATCAGGTTCAGCTAACAGAAAAGTAGATTTTTTTGTCTCTGTTTAACAGCCCTCAGCTGAGGCCAATCTTCAAACGTGGGCTGTTTATGAAAAATTGAGTCTGTTATGTTTTAGCCTGAGGTGATTTTATGTGGAATTTTTTTTTTTTTTGCTGCACTTTTTCTCTTTTATACCTTCAAAATCAAATCCCAAGCTTACGGGTAACATCTAAAGGGCTGATGCAATCAAGCCCCTTTTCTTTTAATATAGATGAACATAAGCACTTAGCTGCAATACAAAAAGAGAACTAATAACAAGCTCCACGTCAAAGTGCCGTTTAAACTGCTGGACCACACTTTGTGGCAAATAGTGATATGGCAGAATATGTAAAACGCTGGCGGATTTGAACCTGGACACAAAACCAGCCCCAAAAAAAAAGAAACCAGAATATTTGATGTGCTCACCAGTCTCTCCTCCCTCGGGCAGCTCGGAGGCCGACACTCCCAGGATGTCACACAGCTGCTGAGCTCCCTGCTTTTCCGTGTCGCTGGCGCCCGCTCCCACCCATGTGCTGGTGCCGTCGGGGGTCACCAGAACAAAGGCGTCGTTGGAGTTCAGGTTGGATGCCACGGCGTCGAGCTGCGTGAACACAGACGGGATTGAAAATCAACACGTGGCTCTGCTTTTGAAACGATGCCTTCAAGGTTCTCCATTTCTCAACTACTGCTGAGGGACGTGAACATTTTTCGGTTGAGTTGTACAGCAATTTGAAAAGCGACTGGTAAAAAGAAAAATCTAGGGGAAAACCTAGACTTCTTTCTTTGCCTCTTGCGCTGTTTAAGGCAGCAGGCAGCAGTATACATAATTTGTATTAATGATGGTAAGATCTATATCTAAAACTTACACATTTTTCTATACAGCACTGGAAATCAAAAAGTATTCAACTACTGATATGTACAGATTGTTTACAGATATATCTGAAATGATGTTTAGAATTAAAGTTATTGTCATCATAAACCCAATTTTATCTTTATTTTGTCAGAAGATCAAAATCACAAGCATAAACAATACCAAAAAATCTAATACAAACTGCCTTCGGTACTAAATATGACAGGAAAATCCAGGAAAGCAAATGTGGTACTGTATTCTATATATTTCTTTTACTCCTGCCACCAAATCCCACAAAACCCCGGAAGCCTGGCTTCTTTTTTTTTCCACCCCTCTGTACTCGCCATATTACTGTTTGTCAATAAAAACTCAAATCTCGCCTCAGGTCTTGTGTGAGGATGTAAATCTCAAACCCTGGAAAACAAACATGGCACCGCACTATAAAAAGCCAACGATTTCCCAAAACAGCCACGCTGTTTGTTAATCTGCAGTCAAACACGAGCAAATGGTAATGCTACCGGCGTTTTCCGCAGCAGATTAATACCGATCTGGTTTTCATTTGTGTGTTTAGACTTCTAACACACAAAAAAAAATAGTGAACCATGATTGCCTGTATGCTAACGTGCCTTCCTGCTAGTTCACTGCTGGCCCCTTGCCTTATATGATCAATCCTGACATGATGATACAACAATTATTTACTGATAGAGATGGAAAATAAAATCTAAGAGGAAAATTAAATTTAAAAACTAAGTATGTTCGAACAACAAAAAGAACCTTCAGTTTATCAATTAGCGGAGTGAAGCTCTGGAACAGCTTGCATGAAAATATTAAACAATGTAATAGCATCCAGCAATTCAAAAAAGAATATAAGAAAAGTATTTTTGATGAATACAAAAAATATACTGTTTGTCTTACTGTAAATATTTGTCCTTTACCACCACGACTCATGTAACTGAGGGGTAGGGCTTAATAAGCTTATGACTTCATCCTGCTCCTTTTTGAAACACGATGCATGTTTATGAAGCATTCTATGTAAACATTGTTAAATCATATCATGTTTCAAAATAAATTAAATGAAATTAATTGAAATGAATGATGATTAAAAAAGGAGACAATCACAGAAAATTTGTTCTATAAAGTCAGCTCCAGCTGCACTGACCGTGAAAGGCTCTTACCTCCACTGCCCTGGTGTGTCCAGCAGAGTTGGCGCGCACCTGGAAGAGCCGGGTCTCCGCGGGGGCAGACTGACCTCCTTCCCTGGAAGTTCCTCCCTTGTACACCACCATGGGCTTCCCTCCGAAGAGGCTCATCAGATGGGCGGGCTCCTTCCCCTGCATCACCCTCACCTTGGGGCGCGGACACGGAAACAGTCAAACTCTGGGGTCTGACCACAGGCTCGTTGCTGTGAGTAAAACCACGTCCGTTTCATGCATTTGTGAGTCTTTTGTTCAGGGTGTGGCAAACAAATATTCCAACTGTATCTCAGCCTGTGACAGGAGCTGTATCTGACTACAGACACATGATGGCAGCATGGAGCTGAGTCCGGTGTTCCAGTGAAGGGGCAGAAGACCTGTCAAATCTGAAGCAGGGACACGACCCACAAGGCAAGTTTCAAGCCTTGAGCGTTCAACTTTTTTGCCCCCCCCGAAATATTTATAGCTGAGAGTACAGCCTCAGTCTGCCTCTCTCAGCCGACAATGCAAATGACGGTAATCTTCGGCTCACACGAGCAAACAGATGTAGGGTAAATATTAACAGATGAGTTTACATCAGATCAGAGGGGGGAAAAAATCTCGCGGGGAGTTTAGCAGACAAAGCTGACAATTAAACTTTTGTTCTGCCATTTGAGCAAATATTTGACACGTGCCGCTCTGCAGCTTGTTTGGGCTGTAAAAGCAGTGTGAATCCCTGTTTTATGTCGTCTGTTGAAGGATGGAAATATGTTCTACTGAACCATCGACAGGCACCCGAACCACAGAGACGAACGAGTGCAAAATGCTAAACAAAATGTTGCCCCCTTTTGTTCGTATATATACTTGTATATGATGTGTTTATATTCCTTTCTAGTTAAGCAGAAAAGCAGAAAAAGGTAAGTTAGACAGTTGGGTAGTTGGACATTCAGCCATTAAAGAAAAGGGCTTCCTCTTATAAGTATAAGATTTTAGGTATTAATTCATAATAATAACACAAATTCTTTCAGTTAATAATAATAATAATAATGATGATAATAATAATGATAATAACAATAACACAAAGTGTGATGTCATGTGTGTGATGTCACCTTAATTGCGTAAGATTACTATATTGTAAGGACTGTAACAAAAATGGGAGGTCACACTTCTCTCACGTGTCAACTTCCGTCACAATCCCCGGTTTTGACGTAGTAACTCTTTTAAAGTTTTTAAAAACAGCCCAGGTCTGTCAAAGCCAACTTTGATTTGACGGTCTGCTGAAAGTGATTTGACATTTGCTCAAAAAATAGACAAAGACTGATGGGATACACACACTGACGGTGGTCCATGCAAAGTCAGAAACCACAAAATGACGTTAAGACTCACATGAGTACAGAGCCACTGGGACCTTTATGAATGGAGCTTAGTCTTCTATTTGAATAATTATTTCAAGGCTGCTTTTCGCCTAATAATAGCTTACAGAATACTTGTTTAGACAGTTGGTCTGAACTTGAATTGTTTGGAGACAAAGCCAATAACAGAGGAGGGAACCTCTCATTACCATCAGCTCTGGAATGTCCTGTTTGTCTTTTACTGACTGATTTGCCCCGTATATATGCTCAAACTCATATCCTTATTTACTCTCATCGCCGAGCACGGAAACAGAGAAAAACACGGTTTCTCCCTATTCTCTTTCATTGTGGTCCCAGACCAGCCATGGGAGTCATTTTGCAGAGACAAATGAAAAGCAGCAGAGGGAGGGAAAATACCTGAGTTGTTATGGGAGCGCCAACAACCTGGGGAGATGGAAACCAAGGAAGGAAGAAGCAGCGCAAAAGGAAAAAAAATGAGGGAGAGGAGAGATAGTAAAGGATGGAACGGTCAGACACGATGCGACTGCACTGAGTAAGCCAGAGGAGAGCACCCGTTACAAACATGGATGAAGATATAAGCCATTAAAAACAGATGGGAGATAAACCACCCAGTCTTATTGTACCTGAACAGGACCGCCGCCAAGCTCTTCGTCCAGCTGGGCTCCGAGGATTGCAGAGGCCCCGATTTCATCCTGAGTGGAGTCCATTCCCTGCCTGGAGAACCAGACGCGGGTTGGAATCGTTTCAACACAGGACGGAAAACGACTCGACTGTGAACATGTTCGCAGTTTCGAAAACTCGACTTCTGACTCAATCGTCCCGAGAAATGCACCTTTACTTCCTGATTATGAGATTGCCCTGTAGTCAGTCAGATAACAGCCAAATATGCCACACAGGCAGAGTAAGCCCAGTTTTCTGGATTGATTTGTGCAGTTAAATGTAGCTGCTTCAGCTTGATGACACAAAAAAAGATGGAAACCGGTGGTCCATACTGTTTCAACCCTTAATTTGACGCATTTCTTTCTCACCACATGTAGATAATGTGTCCCCGGCGTCCTCCGTGATGGTAGTTATACAGGATGATGTAGCTGTCTCCTCCATAAAACTGTCCGTAAGTGGAGGGATCCACTGAAACCTTATCAGGTCCCTCGATACGCCAGATCTATTGAGGTCGATAACAAAGAACAAACCGGTTAGCAGAGGAGTCCGTTAACGACGCGTACATCAGTGCGGCAAAACCGACTCTGACCTGTTTCTCTCCGCTGCCGTCGTCCACCATACCGTGCTGGGCGGCCATGGCCGAGGACTCGTGAAGGCTGGCGGCATCGAAAGCCACCTTCTCGATTTTGGCGATGCTGTTGGCCACGTAGGCCGCGCCCAGGCCCACCGTCTCATCTTTGTCCCGCCAGTTTTTGAAGAACTGCTTGAACAGGGGCGTCTCGCCCATTTCTGGCAGGATCTGGACCTGCGTGTGTTTGGGGTAGCCCATCTTTTTGATGAACTCGTCGGCTGCCTTCATCGCCGCCTTTCTCTCGTCCATGTTAGCATCTCTGCCTGAGAAGACAAGAGGGTGAGTCTCAAGACGCACAATGGGTCCAACTATGAAGAGCTGACCTTGTTTGGGCAAGGAGAAATTCCTCAGTTCCTTAGGCTGAACCAAACACCGGTGACTGAGAAGAGTGCCCTGCCCTCACCTTTCCAAACAAAGATCTTGTTGTCCGAGCCGTGATCCAAGATGAAGCAATCTCCGGACTCCAAGGCGCTCTGGGCGAAGGGGTTCTCGGCGGCCACCAGCGTGATTGCCATGCCTCCGCTTGCATTTGAGACCTGCAGGAGTAGAAGACAGTAGCCACATCTGTCAGTAAGTCATATAACCCCTGGTACTTACAAAAAATGAATACAAATTTGAAGTTACATGCTAGGATTTCTGACCTATTCATTGATGCACTTGACATCATAAAGATGTCGTCATCATTTTTTTACCCCAGAGCTTCCCCAGATTCTCACTTCTCTGGCTAAAGAACCTGCCAAGCTCCTTTTGTCTTTATGTTCTGTATGTGGGTGTGGGTACCTTGTAGAGTTTGGCATTCTTCCTGTTAGAAGCATCAGCTTTGATGTCATCAGAAGCGCCTTCAGGCAGGTCCGGTTTAGGGCCCAAAACCTGAGGACAGAGGCAGCGATTTAATCCAAAGATCCCGGCTTTGAAACTGAGTTTGTTGCCGTAGTCCGCAGGTCTCACCTCCAACATCTTCTCTCTCTCGCCGCCCTCATCGCAGACGTAGACCCGGGCCCTCCCGCAGCGCTCGTTGTCACGGATACCCTTGGCGACCTGCGTGGCCTTCAGCTTCTCGAAGCGGTTGCTCTGAGAGCCACACCACTGGTAAATCTCCTGTGCGACGCAAAAGAGGGAAGAAAAGACGGTGCGTGGTGACAAAAGCGGGGCGGGTTTTCTTGACTTTTTAGCTGACGACGCAGTCGGGAGACCACGCTTGTCCTTACTCACATCTCCCAGGTCCAGGATGAAGCAGTCTCCCTGGTTGAAGCTCTCCCAGTTGACCGGCACCTCGGTCGCTCTGATGACACGACGGCCTTTGACCTGGAGAACGCGCTGTACTGTCACCTCGTTGGTGACCACGTGCTTGAAACCAGACGCCACGCCTCCTTTCTGCAAGAGGAAAAAATTAAGTCACGAATTTAGATCTAAACTATAAATAATAGGGACACTTTAAGACGACTGAATTTTGTTTCTAATTCACAGATTATGAATGAGAAGTTAACCTCTTACCATGTATTTAATTCCAGACTTGAAGTAACCCAGAAAGGTTTTGGACTCGTGTCCTTGCACCTCACGGTACTGGATGGGTTTTCCACCCAGGAAGTCATCCATTTGGACTGTAAAGATGGCCGCCGAGCCACTCTCATCCTGGGTGCAAAAGTCACCTGCAACAAGGGATGGACAGACATCTTCCATGTTTATTCTGCTGCCTTTCAACCCCAGTTCCATGTTGTTTCTATGCACGGTTAAGTTTTCTGTTTTAAAAAATTGACACCATTGACAGGAGGTCAATATGTTGGAACAGCTAAAAGTCAAACCCAACATTATAAGACAAAGTCCCAGTCTGGGTCGATAAGGTTTGAACACTTTCCATGATCTGTATAGCTAACTAAAAGCTAAGAAATCAGTAAAGGCGGAAACTGTTCTAGTTTGATTAGAAAAACTCTGGAGCCTTTAGTCCATTTTGAAATTCTAATCTGATGTGGACCCTTTAAGTTGTTGCTCGTGTAGGCACCAGACAAATAAAAAAAATAGATTTTTCAAAGAAATGGATGCTATGTTTATTGAACCAAAGAATAAAGGACCATTCAGACCACGCAGCCACACCAAAAGCCAAAGCTCAGCAACGTTTCTTGTACTGCAGCATTAAAGCTGAAAGGTGTGCCGAGATTACAGAGCAACATTTGCTGCCTTTACGATGACATGGGTGAGGCAGGAAGTGGGTCTGTAAAGTACTCTGAAATTTAAAAAAAAATAGCGACGCAAGCACAAAATAGGGAGTAATGGTGATATTAGAGATTGGTGAAAACTTAACTGTCCCAAATTTTTGAGTTTGTTTTGCAGACACATACGCAAGTGCAACACCCTTTTTAATTTAAAAAAAAAAAAAGAGGAAACAACTTTTATAGCAAAGGTTTGATTATAAGATGATGCGATAGGACTTCTATGCATCTATGCATAAAATGTGACGTCTTTAGAATGAAACGGTTATATTTCATTATTCCAATCCTGCTGGAATAGTTCAACCTATTGTGCTTTTGCTCTTTTTGCTATTATCGATTGATCACCATTTGAATGTGGAAACAAAACGCCTCTCTTTTGACTGTTTTACAATGTGTGCCAGCTTATATTGCAGTATATGATCTAATATGTCACCAGTTACAGATAATATAGCTGTGAACGCTAAATGTGGCTGACAGTATGAGTTTAAGAAAATTGTCAGCTATGAAATTCCACTTTCACAATTTACTTTTAACAAGCTGGTCAATGAATGACGGCATTACCCACTGATACGACTTGATGTTTGAGACTATGTGTCAAGGATTTTTTGTTCTGACTGGTGTCAGCATGAACTTTTATACTGCACAGCAACATTATGAGGATAGCTGACATTTGCACAGCCTCATCTGCTGTGTAAGTCTAACAGGACGGGTAGCTCCTCTGGAAAACTGAGATCACCCCCTGGTGAATGGAAAATGGAAAAGCACCAAAAAACTAAACAGAATCAAACCATTTCTTTTCAAAAAGGTCTCACTGCACTCACCCAGCCAGTAGTGGAGGTCATACTGCAGGTTGCCGGAGCGCTGTTTGATGGTGTTGAGGACGAGGTAGGCATCCCCGGAGTAAAATCCCCCATAAAGGTTCTCAGGAACCGGCACTAAGTCGAACTTTTCCACCCTCCACACCTGGAGACCTGGGCTCTGTCCGGCCCGCTCAAACTCTGCGTGCTGCGCTGCCATCCTGACTGCAAGGAGATAAACACAGCCCAGAAAGCGGAGTTTTGTGAAAAGCTCTTCTAAAAGCCAGACGAGGACACCCCATGCGAGACCAATTGGCTTCAGGAACAAACAGAGCCACACCCCTTGAGGCGTAGCTGTTGTCATGGACGCAAGATAAAGTTTTGGCCACCAGTTAGTCATTAATAGAGAGGAAAATGAGTCACCAGTCAAAGACATTTCCTCCATAGAGAAACGAGAGGAAATCCTGTTGGCTCCGGAAGATGGCACGGAATAAAACACTGTGTACAAATTTACATTAAAAAAACTGCCGTCTCTTGCTCGGAATTATTTTGTATCTATGTTATTACTAGATACGAGTCCTGTAGCACTTTTTGACTTGACATCTGATCATTAATTAGTTTAGAAAATGGCCAACTGATAACATTTCTTCAAAGCAACATGAATTTAAATCTGTAATTCCATTTATTTGAAGATTTATCCAACAAACGTACTGTAAGTCCAGCTGATTTTGTTTCTATCTGTTCACAGACCAACTTTATTTTTTATAGATAAACTTTAAACAAATTAAAGATTTAAAGTCAGTTACATATAAAAAAACTTGAACAAAAAGCGAAAACAAGTTATATAACATATATATATACTGTATATACAACTAACACTATTCTCAAAGACTCCACATTCAATGGACTAATTGCTGAAAGGTTAGCATGTCACAACTGTTTATAAAAAAAAGCACTAACAAAAGTTTGGTCCCTAAAAAAACCTCACCATTTTCTTTTCAGTTGGACAGTGACCGAACAGATATGCGTCTTGTTGAAAACGATGAAGAAAACCGTAGACCGAGCTGTTTTTTGGCGCATTTTAGAATACTTCCCAATTTTTTCTGCACCGTTTTTGGGGTTTGACTTTTGGCAATCACACACACATCAGCCTCCGGGCATCCAGTCCAAACACAGACACTTAAATCCAGACAAGCGTGCACCCAAATACCAAACACTACAGCTGTATCCAACAGCACAGTAGACACTTGGCGCCCAGGCAAGAGTTTCAAGTAGCTGTCTGTGCTGCACTGAATTGCAACCTTGTGGCTGCTTAGTAGCATGAGTGGATGTATGAGATTTGTAGAATGACAGCTCACAATTCCATTAAACTCTTTGCCATGCTGTGCATGGAGCTACAGGGTGAGCACTGCATCTCATGTTTGCTCTGTGTAAAACAAAAAGCGAAGTTAAGCTAATGAAATAAAAACAGCAAATGAAGTAAAGCACCTCAGGGTCCTTAAAAGTCCTAACTTTTAGGCAGCTACGCGTTAACAACGTAGGATTACACAGTTTAGAGGTAAAAACATTGATTTAGGAAAAGATGAAAAAGACTTTGCAGTAGATTCCAACCCACAGTCACTCCACATTAATTGCTGGTTGGGATAATAAACACAAGAGGGACCATAAACAAATTCTCAAAAGCCGAGCAGTACTCTCAAATGAAACCATCTCTCAATGAATGGAGCCTTTGTGACCCCTTCGTTTTAATTTAGATATACTTAATCTACTTTTACTCTTCTTTAATAACGTTTGAATCCCTTTTTTGGAGAAAAAAACACTTTCTTGTGTTAAAAGCTGTGTAAACAGGAGGTCACGTAGTTCAGAAGTAAGAACAGAATCGAGTTTTCCACAGGAATTCTGCCTTCCAAACGGCATTAAGAATCATCCGTGTCTAGGCGGCCATTTGCCCACAAACACGGGAGGAATCCGCTCCTGACCCTGGAATATGGAAGTGGCTCAGAAATCAGACAACCGGGCCAACCAGAGTGGATTTTTCCTATTTGTCCCTCTCGGTTTATGTAACTGTCGGTCTCAGTGCTGTGCAGCTTTCTATGGGCAGTTTTAACATCGAAAAATAGGCCGGGTCATTTCAGGCAACAACGCTGCTCAGAGTCAAACATCTTTTTTTTTTCTCTTTTATGGCATGCTGCGTTTTCTTAAAATCTGTTGGCGTGACCAAACCGGTCAGGAAGTGCCAGACCTCTCAGTTGTTTTAAAGCTCTATTGGACATGTTAGAATTGGGCTATAATTACTCACTTTAGCATAGTATGTTATTACTTAATCCATGTAAATGACTGATTGGTTTATTCCTTTTAAGATTTATATTATTCCCTTTATAATTATACTTTTGGGCTAAACTCTCTGGCTGTGCCCACTCCTCCTCCTCCTCTCTCTGTTACAGTAGATACACATCTTCAAGGTCAACATTCACAAACACACTTTCTTATCACATTCCACCGAAATCTGCATGAATTAGGGGCTGGCCTGTTCTGGCCAATAACACTCGGTTATGTCCAGCCGTCCTCCTGTTCGAGGCCCAGAGGATAACTGTCCATAGCACCTGGAAATCAAGGCTCTTGCCAACTGAGATCCTCCAGGAACTTTTTCTGTGAAGAGCCCAGCCTTGATTTACTTAGCTTGTCACCAACGAATGTCATATTTGTACTCTTGATCTAGTCTGGTTTGTTCTCAGGCTTCCAACAAAAGAATCGGGCTAACAGACATCACGCCAACACAGACATGTGAGGGGCCGTGCGTTATCTGAACTATCGTCACCACGGACAAAATGCAGCCATGCAATTCCATCCACCCGTTTTCTATACTGTTTAATCCCACCGGGGTCGCTGGGACGGGGGGGGCCAGTCCATCACTGGGCCACGCAGATACAAACAACCGCATGCACATTTGGTCCTCAGGGAAATTTGGAGTTTCCAGGAAGTTGGGAGCCCACAGAGAACCCACGCAGACACAGGGAGAACATGCAAACAACGGTGCAAACCACCACACCACACTCCCACCCCTGCCGTGCAATTCCATGTTGGAAATCTTTTAAATTGCTGGATGAGTAGGGCCTTAAATTTACAATTTTGAGTTTACAGTAGGAGGCACACGAAGGCTGCATTTCACAATAGAACACATTCATTTTAAATAACTGTAAAATTGTCTTGATTTTCAACCATAGTTCAGTGTGTGATACTTGTCAACAAAGATTGCATCAGTATGGACCCCATTTTCAGCTCAGATGTTGCATTGGTACAATGGAGCAGTATGTTTATTAAGTACAAAAAGTGTATTTTTGTACTTTTGTTTCTGCATGTTTCTGTGTTTGTATCACTTATTTCTTGGGTTAGGGGTTCTGTTGTGATCTCAAAGAAAAAAATCTGACTTACGATCATTGTATTTATACTGTTTATCAGAGTACTTCTGCTTACATACTGTAAATTTGGCAGCAGCTTCCAGTTTGTGGACGACATGGACAGCAGATGGTACATAGATAAGAAGCGAAGCAGCATATGTATTTTAGGCCTTATAGTTTGTTTAGTCTGTTTTTTGTTTTTTCCCGTTTTTTAATCAGATGTTAGGCCAATCACCCATTTTGTGTTTTCAGTTCCAGACAGTACACACAGACAAGCATATTGACCTTCTTACCAAATGCTTGCAATGACATTTAGTGCGATTCATCGTATATCCCAAAACGTTGGGTTGTTCTGTTTTCTCCATTTTTAAAAAATGCTCTAGTCATGTGCTTGGAATCTATGCTACACTTGAACATTAAAAAATAAATTTCAATTAACTGGCAACATTATCCTTCTGGGGATTCCTCAATCTAGGGAACTGGAGCAACTATGGTGACTAAATACAATAACATGGGGTGCCCAAGCAGCTGGAAATAAATCAATAACTTCCACTTGAAATACGGCAGGCTGTTGCTAATGTTGACTCATTAAAACAGAGACTGGTGCGCACCATGGATGTAAACTCAGCCCCTGAAGGTAAAAATAGAAAAAAACCCAAATCATTGTACAAACTTTCATTATTAAAGTGTAGGGGTTTGTTTAGTGTATGTGTTATTACAGAGTTAGACCTGAATCCTGTTCAAAGCCCACACAACTGTAGGCACAAAAGAAATGCTGTAATTTTCTTTTCTTTTTTTGGCTACTTTGATTAAAACAGGCATATACAACTGAATAATGCCCGGCTGTTCCCAGTTGGATGAAGTGACTAAAGAAGTGGTGGTTAGTCTGACTCAACACTCACGCAGCTGCAAACGTAAATAGAACTTGTCACATGATTGGTGGTCAGTGCCTCTCTTCACGGGCGTGTTAGGAAAAGGAGATGATGCCTGCAGTCTCTCCCACACCTCTGCAGAACCAGAAGTATTCTCCTCTGTAGGCCCGCCCATCCCCCTTTTCTTACCTAACAAACCCTTGAGTGAGTGTGAGTGTGCCGTTCCCTCCCCCATTTCCCACCAGCCTCTCATTTGTGTCAACCTTCACTCGGGGAATAAGAACTGACAACGTTATCCACAGAATCGGCTTTTATGTTTAGTTTATGAAACCTGGGTTATCTAGGGCTAAACAACGTGCTGAGTTTCCACTCCCTATCCTCTCAAAAAAAAAGGAAAAAAAGGATTTCTCCTTAAGGAAATGGGGGCCTCCTTATGACTCATTTTCTCCATGCATGCCACTGTCGGCCTCTTGAGTAGCCTTTTGCTGCAGTCTCGGTTGGATATCAAACTCTTCCCACATCCAAGTCTGCCATTTTGATAAGGTCACATGACTAGCAGCTTTCTGAGGTGGAAACAAAACTTTACAGTCTATACGAAATCGGAAGACAAACGATGCCCTGACCCTGACCCTAACCCTCCACCCTTCATGATTGTGAGAAATAAATATTTTTTAGTTAAATTTGTTAGGAAACCTATTTAACATACACTATTTTAAACTAATATTATGTATAGAGTTTAATTCAGTGTTTGCAAGATTAATTTCACTATTTTTAAATGAATCTCTATATTGCCATGAGGCAATTACGATTTTCTTGCCTGGGATCTTCCTAATGGTGACGTAATCAAAATGGCCGACTTGGATGTGGGCGGAGTTGGATATCCATCCCTGGCTTCCTGCAGTCTGCAGCCAGATATACTTGTCTTGATGAGCTCAGCAGCTTGATGTGGACACATCAGATAACATCCTTTGCTAACTTTTTACTGGCCAAACTGCTTCCTAACATCTGTTGACACAATAAATGAGGAAGAGATGCACAATGGCTGTTTATGGCATGACAAACAGCCTCTGTGAAACACGGATGGTTATTAGTAGGGAAATGAGGTGGCTATCAGGAACAGAGTGGCTGTGGGCAGACATGGGGAACAACAGGTGAGGTAGTACCTACAGTAACTAGTTCTCTTGCCTGAAACAATCAAATGAAACCACATCTATACAGTGTCGTACTTGTTCTGCCCTAAAAAAAATAAGGGCAAATGCAGCTGAGCCCTTTGTGGCTGAATTGAAGTCAATGGTAAAAATGCATTATCAGTAGCTATGTCCACCAGAGAGACACATGTCATATATGAGATAGATATGTTTGGCCTCCCCATAAAACATTAGAACTATTACCGCTACTACAGTTTGGGCCTGTTTGGGCGAGGGCAAAACACTGATCTTTAGAGGGAAATTGTCTGGTCCAATAACTTGTAATTGTATAAGTTAAATCCATAGACATTTTTACAAGTGAATAACTTCATTTAGTATCTGTAGCCACATTCTTCTGAAGTGAGAATGTCATGTTTTGGGATTATGTCACAGATCGGGCAGGTTTCTGTCAATGATTGATATATGAGCGCTGATATCTGTCTGAAATATTAGATTAACACTGCGCTAACTGTGAACAGCATCCTGAACAGGAAGCAAACAGACAATCGCTCCCCCGCTGGTTCCGAATACGCGCCTCCATTTTGGTGACCCGGCTGCTCTGGATGTAGAGGCATGCGAGGACAGGTCGCCAAATAGGAAATTACTGGATTTAGCAGCTGCAAGCAATCAAAAAAATCTATGCCAGCGTCGAGTGGGCGAACACATCCCACCGTTCAGCCTCACACAAAGCAGGCTCTCAGCCGCTTGGGCCCAAAAAACAGCTGGCGAGTTCAGGAATCCCAGAATCTCGGGACTCTGTATCTGACACGGCTCCAACTGCTAGGCCAAGAAATCTTTGTTGAGTATTTCTCGGCCGTTAAAGCAACACAACATTGTGGCAGAGGTAAAACAGTCATCCCCTTTACAGGATGCTGTGGCCACACTTCCTCAAAACAGACTTAGTTATTTGCATTTCTCCATGGCTACGCCATATTTCTTTGCACCGTGTAGGAAGCGTCGAACTTCATCGCTTTTTTTTTGTGGGTTTGTGTTTCACAACACAGAACTCTGCTCGTTCTGTAACAGAAGATGTGTGCACGGCTGCGGTCACAGTGATGCCACGCAGCGTTTTAAAGTCAGGGCCTTTGTAGACTCTTCCATAAATGGCAACTTAGGGTTAAAGAGACCCAATCGGAGGCAGAATCCTGTTTGTTGGCCAAGTGTGCACAAAGAAATTGCTACAGGCTGTTGGTGTCTCTAAGCAGTGACTACAGATCTTAAATACAGGTGTACTATAAAAAAAGATTAAAGGTTTGTAAGTTGTGTCTGAGGTAAAATGGGTCAGAGATTATTCTTTTTATGTCTTCTCCCTCCATTGTGAGAGTAGAAGTCTCACTGAGAGGGTGGGGTTTTGGGGGGGGGGGTTAAATGCCTCAAAGACACACCCTTTTTCAGGATGGGGGACATGTTTCAGTCCCGTTCAAAGTTTTAGGAAGCGGTGGAAATCCAAACAGTTTTAAAAACTCAGCTGAAAAAAGGGCGATAAAGTTATGGTGAGGCTGTAGAAGCGATGATGGATGCTTTTTAAAATCCAATCAGCAGCTTTAGAACCAGCCTCCCATTCAGACACGTCACTGACTGAATGACTGTGGTATCGTCTGCAAACCTCAGGAGTTAACCCACGAAAGTGTACCACTCCGTGTACGGTAAAAAGAAAAAAAAACCTGCTTCTAAAGGCTTCTTTAATTTCCAGATAGCGCAGTTAAGAGCAGGGGTTTGCGTCATCTTCCGTTACCCTGTGGACCGACGGCCTTTAAATGAGGCATTGTCCCAGATTTACGCACCGAAATCCGTGCTCCCGGGCGACAAGTTTGCTTGTCCGTCGGGTGCATCGGGGTTATGACGTCCGGCCAGGCCTTACCTGAGTGAGGAGAGAGGCGATCGGACGTGGGGGGAGCGTTTCCAAAGCTGCTGCGGGACCAGAGACGCGTCGAGTCGGCAGCGCAGCGGAGCTCAGAGCCGCTGTTTATGCGTCTGGCCCGCAGCGGGACACTCCCTGTCCAACCCCCTAACCCCCCCCACCCACCCCGACCAGCCTGTCTACTGCACCGCCTGCAGCGGGGAGACAAACTCCATTAACCCTGATCTGTCCTTAAATGACAAGAAACAAGGAATTTGTAACCGACCATTGTTTAGTGTGGAAAGCTCATGAAGCCTGTAAGGATCAGCACAACTGCAAAAGAACATTAAAAAAAGGCTGGTGCAGGTACAGGGATGTTATTACAAGTTAATAGAAGGGTAGCTTTCTTTATGTTGAAGGCCTACTCTTAACCCTATAACTCCAAATGCATCATATTTGATCCATACGGTTTCTGGAGTCTTTTGGATCTGAGACATTCTGCATCATTCAATGGTAAAAGCTTTGCTCAAACCCCTGTTGTACACATTCAGATATACCTGATAACAGCTTGTAGAAGACTACACCAAAATATATTTTTGAACTATTGCACGCTAATTTGATCAAAATAATTTCTGTTTTTCTTTTCTTCATATGTTGTTGAGGGGCCAAAGAAAGACTTCAGACTAAACTTTTTCTTGGATCGGGCTTTAAAAGGTTAACCCATGTTGATATCTGGCCTATCTAATCTTCCACCTTTTAGCATTGTTATAGTTTACGAAATGTACACACAATTAACAGGGAATGATCACCAGATCTCACACTCCAAGCTGAACTACCTCTTTTATAATCAGTTCCAAAGTTGGATTGATTTCTATTGGGCGGTTAGAAGAAGTCCCTCTGACTGATGATTCTAGTTTAAGAGGTAAAGCTCTGAATGCTGTCTTTAAATTACATGAAACAAGGCCTTTGTAACCAACCATTGTTTAGTGCTGAAAGCTCATGGAGCCCGTAAGGATCAGCACAACTGCAGGAGAACACTAAAAAAGGCTGGTGCTGATACAGGGCTGTTATTACAAGTTTATAGAATGGTTGCTTTATCTAAGTTGCAGGCCTACTCTTAGCCCGTGTTCATATCTGGCATACCTAACATACCACCTTTTAGCTGTGCATTGTGATATATTACTAAATGTACACAGAATTGACAGGAAATTATCAGCACAGGATCAGCACAACTGAACATAAAAAAGTGTTGCGCTGATACAGGGCTGGTATTACAAGTTTATAGAAGGGTAGTTTTTTTTATGGCATAGGCCTACTCATATACTACTGGTTCAAATCTGGCATACCTAACATACCACCCTTTAGTATTGTGATAGATGACTAAATGTATACACAATTAACAGGAAATGATCAGCACAGCTGCAAAAGAACATAAAAAAAGGCTGGCACTGATCCAGGGCTTATATTTCTAAAGGTTTATTTAGATTTATTTCTGAAGACAGGCAACATGTTATGCTTTTTTTTGTTTTTTTTATTTTAGAAGGCCAGACTGTATAAAGTCATCAGTGGGCCTCACATTGGAAAATAGACCAAAATATTCTCAATTTGACTGGTTTAACAAAATTTGTCAAGTATGTCAGCTGTTTCGGAGCTGCTTGTTGTGTTTCCCGGCAGTCATATTGTTGAATAGATGAGTTCTCTTACCGGTGATTATATTGGGTCACAGATGAGCTCTTTCTTAAGAACTTTTGTCATTACAAGCTTATAGAATGGTAGCTTTCTACTACTCATAACCATATCCGGCATATCTAAAATTCCACCTTTTAACTGTCCATTGAGATTACTCAGAGATCGGCATTCAATAAGCAACATTTTGGTTTTGGCTTTTTTTCTGACTGTTAATAAAACAATTAGATGTCTCACATCATCAGGTGTATCTTTATTTCCTGTTCTACCCGTAACTAAATAGAGCTCTACTTTTAAGAGGAACACTTTGTCACTCTCTGACACCCATCAACCAAAGTATATGTGAATGTTTGAATCTGTGTAATGCCACAACTACTAACTTTATCAAAAAGAATATCTTTGGAATACGTATTATATTTGGCTAGTGTTAAGTTTGTGGGGATGTATGCTGCATTTTATTTCAGTAACTGTTTGTACGTGAATTTATTCATCTTTCAACAGCAAACTGATGGTTTCTTTCTCTACAAAACACACTGAATTTATCTAAAAAATGGTCAAGACTTGTCTTTAAGAGTAGACCTATAATAAACTGTATCCATAAACTTGTGTTGGTGGAAATCTCAGCATCTTTTCACAGAGGCCTGCATCTGTGTTGATATGTAATAAACCACATCATCACAAATATGATCGCGAAGCTGCAGAAAGAGAAAGACGTTAACCATAAACTATATATGTTTGTTGTCATCTCGAGACACACATTTGTCTTTTGAAGCGATGTGGCATGAAAATATGTGAGATTAAACTTGAAAACCTGTAGCAACATGAAACTCAAATGAGGTGGCAGTAGATGCTGGAATTTAAAGACATCCCCTGACTGTGGAGAATGTTAAATATATTTTTAAGAATGTCAGAAGATACTTTTTTGTAGGGCAGACAGTGAGGTTTCTGTTGTCAGAGAGTATACATCTTTGTAAGATGACATATTATGTTATTTGTTTAGAATTTAGTCAACTGATAATGCAGCTGCCTACATGTTTTAAATGTTGTAAAACTGTGTTTTATCACATCATTTCTAGTTATTTATATATTTATGTGATTCCTAGTTATAACCCCAGACAGGCCCCCAAAAACAGGTGGCCATGAATGAACTTCAAAACTCAATTCCCATGTTGTTGAAGCTTGATTTCCCTCTAATCGTGAAAACAGCACACTGCATGAAAGTCTGTGCATTGTGCTGGTTCAGAATTTGTTCCATAAATGCCTATTGATATGTGACAACATATGTCTTTTTTTCCTCCCATATTTTTTCATCTGAAAGCAATTTTATATATGATGCACGTTTAACAAAGCAAGAATATTAATGTGTAAATTAAGTTTTTTTTCTCCATTTTTTTCCCTGTGATATCAACCAGCTGAACAACCAGTCTTCCATTTTAGCTGTGTATACTTGGGTAATGGTCAGATATCCTTTATCTGACCATTACCTGACCTTAAATAGACCCCCAGTAAGCTAAAAAAAAACCACATAATTGAGGGGGACTAAACTTTAAAGCCAGCATTTCGCAGTCTGCAGAAGTGATGAAAGCGATGAAAGCACAACAGAATCTCTTGATCCAAAAATATTCATTTATCGTAAAGCAAAAAAATTGCATTTATCATGTTTTTGATTTGTTGTTGGATCAAAAGGGTTTTTTACTTATTGTAGTGACTTTGTGAAAACCGAAAGATTCATTCAACTAAAATGAAACAAAAATATTGGCACACACAAAATCACACACAACTACAGGTAAACACGCCCACACACACACGACACAGTTACAGTAGATACCTCACAAACTTCCTGCTGTGTTTTCTTTCAGATTTACTTTGAGTCAAGTTTTTAAAATTTGTTCTTGGTTCAAGATGAGTTCCAAGACAAGGCATGCAGCATCGCAGTCATCCCCCGAAATGCAAAAGATGCTGTACTCAGGGATTGTGACAGTGATGAATCTGACATGGACTATGAGGGTAAAACAGGCTGTTTAACAGCAAGGCTGTTGAATGCATATGCGGAAGATATGCAAACAGAAAATGACTGGATCTATTGCTTTACTTAAACAACACCCCCATCCCCTACGGGATAAATGTGCATCTCGCTGCCCCATGGAAGAAAAACAGGAAAGACAGGAGAATTGACCTCTTAGCCTCGCGGTAGATGCTATCAGACACTACTGTTTGAAATCTAAAGTAAAATGGTTTTACATGTTTTCAACCAATCTCGTTTCTATTGTGTAGCTGAAATGTCGGCGGTCAGAACCAAATTGCAAAAACATTTAATGACATATATTAAACAAATATTTTTAGATCTAAAGATAAACCCACTGACCCAATACGAGGAAAAACTCCCTGTACCATGACAAAGTCTAGTTAATAAACTTATTAGGTTCTACTAATTCCATATATATTGAAAAATGCAAAAATGCACACCAAAAAAGCCTGGCACTGAGGAGGTTAATGGCTACTGCCTCAGTCCTGTATGTTTCTGTTGTGATGTTGCTGGTGGAATGACATTAAAATACTCTTATTCTTCCAAAATACATAGATGATTGTTGTTGTCTTAACATCAATATTAATAATGGTGCTCCCAGTATTCATATTTCTAACCGATAGTTTAAGCCTTAATTGTAAAATATTCACACTACAGGAGAGCATTTAGAGGCAACGCTGGGACATTTACAAGTGTAAAAACTAGTCTTTGATATAAGGATTTTATTTTTTCAAATGGACCCATATTCAGTCTGTCTAATGGTTGATACAGTCCAGGACCCCACCGGTCATAACTGTGACACATCATAAAACACAGGTTTTTCACACAATTTTAAGCATGTAACATAAAAAATAAAAATGATCGATTGTTTCAAGGGGATACTAATGACACATGATTTAAATAGTTTTTTGAGTCTGGGGAAAAAAGTGGGATTAAATGGCCGATAAAATAACACCGTTATTCTCCTGTGTGACCCCTGGACTGTTTGAACCAACGGTCCTTAAATAGAGCAGTAGCCCAGATTTAAGCATCAGTTTTGTTTAGTTTTCTCATCGGGTGCATTGGGGAGGTAACGTCCGGTTGGCCTTACCTGAGCGAGGAGAGATGTGATCGGAGGTGGACCTGAGGGAGTCGCAGGGAGCGTTTCCGGGCTGCTGCGGGACCAAAGACGCGTCGGGTTGGAGCTCAGAGCCGCTGTTTATGCGTCTGGCCCGCAGCGAGACACTCCCTATCCAACCCCCCATGTTCATATCTGGCATATCTAACATTCCACCTTTTAGCATTGTGATAGATTACTAAGTGTACACAGAATTGACAGGAAATGATCAGCACAGGATCAGCACAGATTCAGAAGAACATCAAAAAAGGCTGGCACTGATACAGGGCTGTTATTACAAGTTTATAGAACGGTCTTTGTGTTGTAGGCCTACTCTTAACCCATGTTCA